AGTGGGTCCCAGAGCAGATCAAGCCGGAGACCTCCCTGGAAGCCAAGATGACCAAACTGAGGCTGTCATATTTTGGACGCATCATGGGAAGGGAGTACTCATTGGAAAAGACAATAATGCTGGGAAAGGTGGAGAGAGGGAGGAAGAGAGGAAGGCCACATGCTAGATTGATGGACTTTATTAAGGAGGTACGGGTATTAAGAGGTTGCAGGAATTAAGCAGAGCAGTGGAGGACAGAGGGTCTTGGAGATATCTCTTCCATAGGGTCTCCATGAGTTGACATCAACTCAAGGGCAGTTAACAAAGAGCCCATGTAATTCGATAAAATAATAATGACCTAACATCACAAATGTAACACCATAATATAGGCTGCAAACCTAATTTGCAATCTGAGAACAGCACATAAAATTGTCAGGATTGTTTTTGGAGGTGCTAGAGAGACTGCTCACCCCTAAACAATTGCTTACATCTCTCAAGAATGTAACATCTCTTTTATAGTAACTGAAATTATTAAATGTCAAATTGTTAGTGCTAGATACACCTTTCCTTTAGATTTCATGATATTATATCACAGAATTCTGATAATCAGCATCATCAGCTCTATGTGACAAATAAAAGTAGCCCGTTAGTAGATTCTCTATGACATCTGAACAGCTCATAAATGTGCATGCACAGTGCCTAATCCATGGAAGATTCTATAAAGTCAAGAACATAAAAAGAGCCATATGGGAGGAGGCCATTATCATCATGGTCAAAGAAACAAGGCCAGGTTATCAGTGATTATGCACAGGGGGCAGATTAACAATGGGTCAATTGGTGCAACTGCTGCAAGACCCTCTAGTGGCTAGGAGCCTAGTACCTAAGGGGAGAAAGCTTTCTTCATCTCCATTCCTTGGCACTTCTTGAATCTCCTGGGTTGTTTTTGTTATTGTTGTTGCTGTTGTTGTTGCTGTTGTTTTGTTATCATCATCATTTTGACTAAATGAGCAATGATGCGTGGAATCAGGCTGTTAGCTTCACCAAAGTTGTAGGGCTGAAAATAGATTCACACATGGAGAGTTCTGTGCTGATGTCTGTTGTACTTTGTACTTTGTATTATATTCAAATTCTATGCCAGTGTGCCTAGAAGGTTTTAAAGGTCCCCACCTTGGAACTCATTTAGGGCCCCATAAACCTTAATTCAAACTGGTCTACACAAGACTGACTGGAACAGCATTGTTTTACTCATGTTACTCAAAAATTAGTATTCAAAAGCATATCACTTCTGATCCCAAACACAATACAGGATGACCAGGAGCTAACTGTTGATAGCCTTATTTCCCACAAATAGGTCTAACCTGATTTTAAAGCCATCCAAATTGTTATCCACCAATATATTTTATGTAGCAATCTCCACAGCCTGACTGTGTGCTGTGTGAAGAAATCTGTCCTATTATCTGTCCTGAATCTGTCATAGGTCAGTTTTACTAAATAACCCCAGATGTTAGTACAGGACACAAAATTATCTTATGCCACTTTAGCCATAGTAGTTTTCATAATGTTCCTCTTTAGTCAGCTTTCTTCCTTGAACTAAAAGAAAACCAAAATCTTGTCAAATTTCTTCATGGAGATGTTGATCCTTTCTGCACTATTCCAAAGCAGGGAATGATGACAGTGCATCATGGTCAAAGGTCAATGAGAATTTATTTCCATTTAGATAGAGAACCCAACTGCAATAACAGTTGGTAGATCCCATATCAGTGAAGCAGTGAATCCATTCATGTTTTTAGTAAAAATTATAAACAACCTATTCAAGGTGCTGAAACTATTTAAGGTGTTGGAACTTTGACAGCTCATTTAAAATTCATCCTATAAACCAGAGCAGAAACTTTGCCTCAGTGACATGAAGCCGTCACCTACCAGTGCCAGTGTATATAATTTTTTTAAAAGCTAACTAGTGTTTATTGATTTACCAATAAATAATTTCATTAATGTCATATATTACATTACACACACACAAATATATATACAGTGGTACCTCTACTTACGAAATTAATC